ATGGGGAAATCAACGGCAATCATTTAGTAGCATCATTAGATAGTAGCGGTTATATCAAAGGTACAAATATTCAGTCAAATACATTTAATGCTCTAAATACAGATGATATACTTTTTCAAAGCAACAACGATACTTATATACAACATGATGTGTCTGGACATAAAATCGCGGCAAGTAAAATAATACAATGCGGGAGCAATCTTAAAACACAGGAGATAGACACCATAGCACCATTAGATTTATTCATAAAAAGAAATAACGTTAGTATGGTTGAACTTCAAGATAACCTGACGGTATTGAAAACTAAAACTCAATGTGATAATTTTATTGTATGTGATAACTTTGAAAGTAAAAATACATCAACAATCAGAAACCATATTATGAACGAAAGCACGGGAGAAATTACATTTTATGTAGGAAGCCCAATAGTCCCTGATACAACAACAAATTTAATTATGACCTTGAAAAACGGGATTGTTGAATTTAATAAACCTACCAATCTAGATTTATCAGGCGATACATCAAACTGTGTAAAACTCACAGGAGCAACCGGCCAACAAGTAGCCGGAACAGTTGCCATCAATGGCGCAAAAAATGGAAGCAATGTATTAACTGTTAATGGTGCTTCATACTTTTCAAATAACATAGAATGTGTTAATAATATTTTATGTGATTATGTTGAAAGTAAACACGCATCAACCGTAATGAATTATGTTATGAACGAAAGTGCAGGATAAATTAAATTTTATGTAGGTAGTCCAACAGTGCCAGATGCTACAACTAATTTAGTTATGACATTGCAGAAAAACTTAATTACATTTCATAAGCCTACAAGTCCAAATATTGGCGGTGGTGGTGTTGATGATACTAATTTAGTAAAATATACCGGAGAAACATTACAAACAATAGAAGGTGATTTGGTTATAGGTGGAGGGGCTCAATTTGGAAGTTTTGATTTAACTGTTAATGGAACTACTTATTTTTTTTCAGGTATAGAGTTAGTCTCAGGAGGGACAGTTGTATTAGGAACTGGTAAAGGTTATATTCGTTCTCTTAATATAGGAGGTGGCAATACTGCTTATGATTATTGTATCTTTGCTTCTGGTGGAGTTCATCGGTTTTATGTTGGAGGAAGTCCGTTTCCTCAACACTGAAAATTTCAATTGTCATTAACACAGGCGTATTTTAATGTAGATGCCGTGTGTCATACTGAATTACAAACTGATGTTATCAACACAAAAAATGCTACTGATGTTGATTTAGTCTTCAAAAGAGGTGATGTTGCATATATGAAGTTTGAAGGAACGCTACAAGCAGTGGAACTAACAAAAGGTGCTAAATCAAACACATATGATAGTATCGGTAATGCTGATGTCAGTTTTAGAAGGAACACAGTAGATTTTATGTTTTTAGAAATGGCAATGTAGAGGTGAATGCAGGTATATCATTACTTGCTGAAAGTGCTAAATTTGATGTGATTGAAATAGTGCCCCTCCTACTAATGTAGTATTTAAAAGGGGCGCTGTTAATTTCTTTACATTAGATGGCACTAAAAATGTTCTTGATGTTTCAACTGGTAGGGCATTGTCATCTCAATATATTTATGGAGACTATTTTTTCAATAGAAATTATGGTGCTGATATGGTTTTTCAAGCCAGTAATACAGCAAATGACGGTTTAGTAGAATATATGAGATACAGAAAAGCAGATGAAGATTTACAAATGTCAAAGCCTATTCTTATGAACCGCAATAGGTTGCATTTCAATACAGTCGGAGGTAAAGAAGTATATATATATAGAGACAATTATGTGGAGAGCAATGTTGAAATTTTAGCATTCGTAAACAATGATACAACGGGTCAAAACAGAATTTTATGTGGTGGCAACACCATACTTGATATGTCAAGCATTGTTTTGAATTTACACCAGAACACAACAGTTGCTAGTGGAAAGAACTTAACAGGAGAGTTAGTTGATACAAGTTCAGAAAAGGTAAAATATGATATTAAAGACGCTGAATATGACTTTACAACAATTGTAAAGAATAGCCGAAAACTTTTGAAATGAATGAGGAAAAGAAACAAGGTATTATCAAAAATCATATTGGTTTTGTAGCAGAGGAAGTCCAAGCAAATATACCAACAGATGTTGAAAACATCATTTTTGATGATGGTGTTAAGAAATTGAATTATGTCAAACTAAATGGTATTCTCTGGGGGTGCGTCCAACAGCAACAACAAAAAATAGAGCATTTGGAAGCTTCGGTTTACAAGAAACAATGAACGAGTTAATGAAAGCAAAACCCAAGGCAAAAGCAAAAGCAAAAAGTAAAGATAATTAAAATATCTAATAATATAATGGGAAATAGGGAAACTAAGATTGAAAATAACTGTATAGAAGAACTGAGTAAAATCAATGAAGAAGATTTAGATATCAAACATAGATAAACTACAAATGGAAGCAATAAAAGAATTGAATAATAGAATTAAAGAAATTGAAGAAAAGAAAAGCAATAAGATTATGTATAAACTACCTGCTATTAACTTGTGCAGTTATAGCCAAATTTAATAATATTATTTCAGTATAATATTATTAATTAATGTGGATGGCTTTGTCAAAGCGAACCATCAACACCCTATTAATGTCAGCTTCCATCAAACTTACAAACAAAAAACTAAGTCTTTCTTCTGTTGCCTTATCAAAGATTTCCAACAATGTATGTCTAGCACTGTTAATATGTTTATCTTCAAGAAATTTGTTTTAATCAAAAGTGCTGACAACTCTTTAACCATTGTTTGTATTTCCGTGTAATTTCTCATCTTGAAAAAATATAGTTGTCTCCTATTTACCCTTATTATTGTTGATAGCGCATTGAATGTGTGCGTTGATGAAATGACATTTACACCAAAATGTCTTCCTCTAATGTATAGCGCATTCAACATACTGTTATGTTTTGAAAATCGCGCATCATCGCAAAAATCATCTACAACTACAAGTGTGGCAAACAGTTTTTTAAGCTTATGGTCTTTTTGATACTGGCCTATTTTATACTGTTGTTCCAGTATCTCTTCTAAATCTTCTTTATGGAATTCATCAAAATAAACCTTCTCTTTCTTTGGATTTACGTTGAGGGTTTTTTTCTATGTATTCCTTGACTGCCACACACTATCAACGTGGATACTGGCACTAAAAATAAAAACTCTTTGAAAACAACCACAATATATATCCAGTATCATATTTTGAAGAAGTATAGATTTACCACTCCCTGACGGACCAACTACAATTTGTGAAAATGGTATTCGTGGTGCTACATCGTATTTTGATTGTTGGAAATCATACTCTGCTGTTTTGTGAGGTTTTATTATTGGAATATTATTCATATGTTATTAAAATATATTAGAAATTACAATATATTATATTTTGTTGATGGAACTTCTGATAACAGAAAAGGGCATCATCCATTAATTCGTTCATAGCAGTCCATTTGCAAGTATATCTCAGAAGCAATAGAAGATGTGTATTTTTGAATTCGGTTGATAAAATGCTCCCCTCATTTCATTGCGTCGGCTAGCATGCAGAGAATTCACAATTAGATTTTTTCACCTTATCTAATTATGAACGACTGGGAAAAGTCCTTTAAAACATACAATTTCGTTTGTTTTAAAACTTTTCATATAGTTTTTAATATACATTATGTCTGAGGAAGAATGTGAATCAGTATCATCTAAATTTGAATCAATATCTAGAAAATTGAACTTAATGAATAAAGTTGTCCAATCAATCTTAGAAAAGTTGGAAGTGAAAAATTCTTTTGTAAATGAAGGAGAGGAAAAGAAACGAGGTAAGCCAAAGGGTTCTACTTTTGAAGAAAAACAAACAAGTTATTTAGACATGTTGAATACTAAAAAGATAAAAGAACCAAAACCTGACACAATACTTTATTATAAATTTCAATATGACAAAGACAAAGATTTATATTATGTTTCGTAATTTATTATTTTCTGAATAGTTCCAATAATGATATTATGAAAATTATTTAGCGGAAGTGGCAGTGTTGGTAAGGTAGCCAGTGAGTTAGGCTATGAGGTTGTGTCATTGGATTTGAAAGATGCTAAAATTATAACTGACATTTTGGAATGGGGCTATACAAAGTTAAAACCAGATGAGATTGATGTTATTTGGGCTAGTCCGCCTTGCACAGAATACAGCAAAGCAAGAACAACAGGAATCAGAAACATAGATTATGCAAATAGAATCGTTAAAAAGACATTGGCAATTATTAGATATCTTAATTGTAAATATTGGTTCTTTGAAAACCCTCAGGCTGGTTTATTAAAGAATCACAATTTTATGTTTGGACTTCCATATTTTGATGTGGATTATTGTAAATATGGAATGAAGTATAGAAAGAGAACAAGAATATGGACTAATGATGTAAAGAGTTGGAAACCTCAACCATTGTGTAAAAAAGATTGTGAAAGCATAGTATCAGGACGGCACATTGAAACAGCTCAGAGAGGTTCAAGTAAAAGCCACATAAATAATAAACACACACAAAATGATTTATACGTCATTCCTTCAAAATTGATTACGGAAATATTTTTGTCTTTGGAATTTTGAAAAGAAACATTGAAAAGAACAAGAACAAACAACATTCATCATCATCTGAACCCCTCCCTATCATGATGAACTGGGGGAAGGCTCACTACCTAGAATATTTTATATAAATATATTACCCTTATATATTCCGTCCGCACACCGTGCCTTATGTCTTCCTTCTTCTTCAACCTTTTCATCACTGACATCATTTTCTCGCTGGACTTTTTCATTATTAAGGTGCGCCTGAGCAGAACCGCTGTCAATGTTTGACTTTGAGAATGTTGAAAGTTGAGAATGTTGAAAGTTGAGAATAGCCTTGATTTTATTCTGTTGCCAATCCGTAGCAACTTTCTTGGCACAAGCACGCTTTGGTGGCTTTTCAGTTTGTTGTCCTGTTTGAGATGACATTTCGCGTCAGTGTCAACATCCAGACCCAGCGCAAGAAGATCTTCATTAACGAATTGGAGTTGGATGTTTTCACATTTCCGACTGTCAAACATGTGAAGACCCGTGTGTTGCAGTTCGTGGAAGCCTGTAAGAACAAGCTTCACAATATCAATATTGGCACCCCAATGATTGAGGAATGGACTGTGGTAAAGATGAGGGGCGCAGAAGCCATTGAATGCAAGGATGATGTCTTGATGACGGCAAAGGAGGATGTCAAGTGTGTCTATTGCGACCTCATGACCAAGCTACACCTTGCTCTGAAAGACTTTTCCAAGACAGAGGCTGGAAAGGAGGCAGACCGTGCCTTTGCTGAGGCAATGGGATATGCTAATGCTGGGGCTTCTTCTTCGGAGCAACCTGCTGTTGAGCAGGAAGCAGTGGCATCACCTCTCTTGGCAGCCACCAAGTGATGGCTTGACAAAGTGAAAATCCAGTGCTGGGATTTCAACAACGGTTTCTATGACCGCGAGGTGGGGTGCTTCCAAATCACATACCTTCAAGGACTACCACACGTTCAAACGTGCTATGGATTGCTATGGTGTGTATCAAGTTGATGAGGAGTTCTTGAAAAAGAACAACACCTACTACTTGGGAAAGGAGGACAGCGAGAACCAGACCAGCGCCTCAGATGATGAGACCCTGACAGAGACAGCAACGACAGTGCCTGAGAGTGCCATTGAGACCGTGCCTGAACCAGAGAGCATTGATGACACCGTCAAGTCCATCATTGCCCGTTTTGAAGGCAAGAACCACGAGATTGAATTGACCGATGACATCAAGACCGTTGCCAAGTTGAAGGGTGCCATTGCCAACAAGTTGAATTTGGTGCCTAAGGACACTCGCATTTTCAGGACTGGGAATGGCGAGGAAATCACCAAGAGCGGTGGCACTTTCTACAAGAATGCTGGTATCAAGGTGAATGACACGCTGGAAATTCAAGTTCGTGGTCGTGGTGGTGGTGGTAAGGTTGCCAAGACCACTACCAAACAGGCAAAAGCCAACCGTGTGAATACCAAGGTTGCTGAGCTCATCCATTTGATGGAAGAGATTGCCACTACCCTGCCTCAGAACATCAAAGAAATCTCGGTCATTGGCGATATGGGGCGCAAAGTTGAGAACCTTATGAAGGTGATTAATGCCCGTGGAGGCGCTCAGGCGCTCATCTATCAGGTGAAGATTTTGAAGGACAATATCCCTGAGGCATTTGCCCGTTGCCGTGATTACATCAAGAACACTGGCACAAATGCGGCAAGAACCAAGCTCAATGCCATTGCTGGGGATTTCTTCGGCTGTGCTCCTGCTTTTGAGTTCAGTGAGAGCGTGTCTAAGACTTTGGAATTGCCAAAGCCTGCCATAAATTCAGCCTTTGAAAAGGCAACCGTAGAAGGAAATTTCACGATGGGCGATTTCCAGCGCTTGTTTGACACAATGGACGTGCTGGTGTCAAGCTTTGCTGTGGCAGGTGATGCTACAATGGCGTCATAAATCCTGATTTGACTGCCAGACACGCCTGAGGAAACCATTTCCTGATCCTGAGGAAACCATTTCCTACCGTACAAGAAACCATTTCCTACTGTATAGGAAACCATTTCCTGACCCTGAGGAAACAATTTTTTTGGATTGATGAAGGAGATGTGTGATGAGATAAGCTGGCTTCCGAACTGGCTGGCAGTGTATGTGGAGCTTGCGGGAGCCATCAGAACAATGGCCGTGCATCAGTCATTTGTTTGGCAGGTTGAAAATCGGGTGGGAATGCCTATCTCAGCCTTCTCTGCTGCCATCCCTACATTCCTTCTTGGCGCCTATGCCAGAGCATGCTGGCCAATGCTGGTGAGATTTTGCAATATGTTCAGTTTGATTCCTGATTGCCAGAGCGGGAACAGAGATGAAGAAACGCAGAATCTGCACTGGCCAGTTGATTTTTCTTGGAAGCAGAGCGATATAACCAAGTTAGACTTGATGCGTTTTCCATGCAAGAGAATTGGCGGCAGACATTGGAACTTCTGAGAGTAAGTGGTCGTTCAATGTCGTTCAAATGTTCTTGCAACTTGAAGCTTCTGAACTCTGAGTGAGTAATCTATTGAGACTGAACTTGTAAGAGCTTGATGATCATTTTCCCTTACCGTTGTCTCATTAATTCGCGCGACACTCTCTGATGACCTGACATAAGTAGTGAGTTTCTGCGTAGGTTGTTTTTTCTCTTGTTTCCTGTTTTTTCTTGTTTTTGGTTTTTGTTCTTCTTGCCTGAAACCCATGCACAGGTCTCAGTGATTTCACGAAATTTGCTTGAAGTGGCGGTGCCATGCTAGTTGACATGTCCATCTTGCCTGTTTTAGGTCTTCATTCTTCTTGTGTTTTTTGGAGGTGTTTTGCTGATTGTGAGATTCAGAATGGGAAGTGCAAAGAGCGAAGGTACCAAGCCAAAACTTCAAAACCTTGCAGCTGTTCAAAATGTCCGAACAGAAGCGATTGTTGCAGCTTTATATACTCTCGAGCCATCTTGCCGCAGAAGCGGCGGGGCGTGCACAGCAGAAGGCGCTCACCAGACCCCCCGGCCTTCAGGATGGCGGCTACTGCAGTTTGAAAACAGGTGCTAGCAGTTTTTGCATTATTCATTGTTGGGAGTTGGCAGTCAGACATTTTGTCAAAGACCTTTCACTCCGAAGACGCGGATTGGATGAAAAACTGCTTATCTGGTTTTGCTATGTTTTGCTCCAGTGCCTTGTTTTTTGTTGAAGATTGACACCACAGCATCCGCCATCCCGCAGGTTTTGATACAGCAACGGCTGTGGAAGCTCAGGGCGTGGGGAAAGACGGGAAAACCCCCTTATAGATTTTTATGATAAGATTTTTGGGGTAGTTGATTGTTATGATTTTTTGTTATGAGGTTGTTTTTCCCGAATGCGTAGCAAGGGTTCCCGTTTCACTCTGGGGGTCTGGGGGTTGAGGGTGTGTTCGCTCGACGTTGCGTCCGCGTCCGCCACCGTCCGCAACCGTTCGCAACCGTCCGCAACCGTTCGCAACCGTTCGTGTGAGGACCGTATGGCCGTGCCTATGGGAAGTTCTGCAGAGGTGGTCATTTTTGGAGGTTTCAGACGTGTCGTTGCTTCGTTTTGCGTGGCAGGCGTGGCACTTCGTGACATTCAGACGTGTTCTGCAACGTGTCGAAAGTCGTTTTGCGTGGCAGGCGCAATACTTTTGCGACGTTTTCAGAAGATGTGTTGCAGTTTTCGTGGCAGGCGCAGCACTTTGGGCGTGTCCATCGTCATTTTTCGTGGCAGGCGCAGCACTTTAGACGTGTCGCGTTGCGTGTTTTTTGCAAATCGCATTGGCAGGGCTGCGTCAAGTGGCGACAAGGTGCAAATTCCGTGGCAGGCGTGGCATTTTCTGACATGTGCTGAAAATTGACGGAAGCCTCGCACGAAACATCGATTTTGAGGTTGCAAATTTTCAGGTTCTAAGGAAAACTCGTAGGAAAACGTCGATTTTGCAGCTACAAAGTGTGAAAATTGTAGGAAGTCTCGCGCGAAATGCTCGTTTTGGTGTTCCCACCTGTCTCTTCTCGCGTCTCTGGTTTTCCCGTGGCCTCGCCGTGTCTATGGGGGAAGCTGCAAAACTTGTCTTTTTGTCATGTTGCCAACTGTGAAAATTGCCGGAAGTCTCGCAGAAAATGCTGCTTTTTCTGCATGCACGTGTCTTGCTTGTCTCGAGTCGTTTGTTTTTCTGTGGCGTCGCCGTGTCTATGGGGGAAGCTGGAAAACATTTCCTTTTCGAATGTTTCCAAGCAGGTTGTCATGTCGTTTTGTGTGGCAGGCGTGGCACTTTGTGACATTCCAACCTGTTTGATAACGTGTGGAAAATATCAAAATTGGAGGAAGCCTCGCACGAAATGCTCGTTTTTCCCGAATGCGTAGCAAGGGTTCCCGTTTCACTCTGGGGGTCTGGGGGTTGAGAGTGTGTTCGCTCGACGTTGCGTCCGCGTCCGCAACCGTTCGCAACCGTTCGTACGAGGTCCGTATGGCCGTGCCTATGGGAAGTTTTGCAGAGGTTGTCATTTTTGGAGGTTTCAGACGTGTCGTTGCTTCGTTTCGCGTGGCAGGCGTGGCACTTCGTGACATTCAGACGTGTTTTGCAACGTGTTGAAAATCGTTTCGCGTGGCAGGCGCAATACTTTTGTGACGTTTTCAGAAGATGTGTTGCAGTTTTCGTGGCAGGCGCAGCACTTTGGACGTGTCCATCGTCATTTTTCGTGGCAGGCGCAGCACTTTAGACGTGTCATGTTGCGTGTTTTTTGCAAATCGCATTGGCAGGGCTGCGTCAAGTGGCGACAAGGTGCAAATTCCGTGGCAGGCGTGGCATTTTGTGCGATGTGCTGAAAATTGACGGAAGCCTCGCACGAAACATCGATTTTGAGGTTGCAAATTTTCAGGTTCTAAGGAAAACTCGTAGGAAAACGTTGATTTTGAAGCTGCAAAGTGTGAAAATTGGAGGAAGTCTCGCAGGAAATGCTCGTTTTGGTGCTCCCACCTGTCTTGTCTCGCGTCTCTGGTTTTCCCGTGGCCTCGCCGTGTCTATGGGGGAAGCTGCAAAACTTGTCTTTTTGTCATGATGCCAACTTTGAAAATTGCCGGAAGTCTCGCACAAAATGCTAGTTTTTCTGTATCCACGTGTCTTGTCTCGCGGCGCTTGTGTTTCTGTGGCGTCGCCGTGTCTATGGGGGAAGCTGGAAAACATGTCCTATTCGAATGTGTCCAAGCAGGTTGTCATGTCGTTTTGCGTGGCAGGCGTGGCACTTTCTGACATTCCGACCTGTTTGATGATGTTCACAAAATGTCAAAATTGGAGGAAGTCTCGTACGAAATGCTTGTTTTTCTGCATCCACGTGTCTTGTCTCGAGTCGCTGGTTTTCCTGCGGCGTCGCCGTGTCTATGGGGGAAGCTGGAAAACATGTCCTATTCGAATGTGTCCAAGCAGGTTGTCATGTCGTTTTGCGTGGCAGGCGTGGCACTTTGTGACATTCCAACCTGTTTGAGAACGTGTCAAAAATATCGAAATTGGAGAAAGTCTCGCACGAAATGCTGGTTTTTCTGCATCCACATGTCTCGCTCGCTAGGGGGAAGCTCCGCACTCCACACTCTACACTTTACACTCCACACTCCACATTTACACTCTAGACTCCACACTCTACACTTTACACTCCACACTTTACACTTTGCATTTTACACTCCTCACTCCTCACCTGAGACTTTACACTCCACACTCCACACTTTACACTACACTCTACACTTTCCACTCCTCACTCCTCACTCCACACTCCACACTCCACACTTTACACTCCACACTCCACACTTTACACTACATACTCCTTTCTTTACACTCCACACTTCACACTTCACACTCCACACTCCACACTTTACACTCCACACTCCACACTTTACACTCCTCACTCCACACTCCACACTTTACACTCCACACTCCACACTTTACACTCCTCACTCCACACTTTACACTCCACACTCCACACTCTCACTTTACACTCTACACTCCACACTTTACATTTTACACTCCACACTCCACACTCTACACACCACACTCTACACTTTCCACTCCACATTCCACACGCTACACTCTACACTTTACACTCCACACTCCACACTTTACACTTTACACTCCTCACTCCACACTCTACACTCCACACTCCCCACTTTACACTCCACACTCCACACTCTACAATTTCCACCCCACACTCCGCACTCCACACTCCACACTTTACTGTACACTCCACACTCGACACTTTATACTGTACACTCCTCACTCCACACTCCACACTTTACACTCCTCACTCCACACTCCACACTCCACACTTTACACTCCACACTCCACACTTTACACTCCTCACTCCACACTCCACACTTCACACTTTACACTCCACACTTCGCACTTCACACTTTCCATTCCACACTCCACACTCCACACAATAATCCACTCCACACTCCACACTTTACACTCCACACTCCACACTCTACACTTTACACTTTACACTCCACACTCTACACTCCGCACTTTACACTCCACGCTCCACACTCTACACACCACACTCTACACTTTCCACTCCACACTCCACACGCTACACTCTACACTCCACACTCTACACTTTACACTCTAAAATTACACTCTACACTTCGCACTCTACAATTTACAAACTCCACACTCCTCACTCCACACTTTACACTCCTCACTTTACGCTCCACACTCCTCACTCCACACTTTACACTCCTCACTCCACACTCCACACTTTGCACTTTGCACTTTACACTCCTCACTCCACACTCTACACTCTACACTCCACACTCCACACTCTACACTCCACACTCTACACTTTACACTCCATACTCCACACTCTACACTTTACACTCCGCATTCTACACTTTACACACTCTACACTCCCCGCTCCACACTTTACACTCCACACTCCTTACTTCACACTCCACACTCCACGCTCTACACTTTCCACTCCACACTGCAGACTGGTAACAAGGGAAACATGTACAAGACTGTTCAAATAAACTATTGCAGAAAGGTATTGTGCGTGACTGCATAACCACGTGTTTTGACATCTGTACCATTAACATACGTGTGAGCATTCGGGTTCGTGGGCTTCATCTTGTTGTTTTTTGTTACGAGGTTGTTGTGGTTTTTGTTGATGAGATTGTGGATGATGGACGATTTTATTATATTATTAGTATGATACTGTTATGATTTTTATGTTATGATTGGTTGTTCTGATTATTTGGTAGGATTATCGTTATGATACTGTTATGATTTTGTTTGTATGAGTTTATGGTGGTGAGTTGTAGTTTTTGTTGTATGATTGTTTGTATGATTGTTGGTAGAATAATGGGGGCGGTTTGGATAGGAAACATGGGATTACTATATCCTAACTATAAACACTTCACTGGGTGACTCAAACACTCCCAAATCTCAAAAACCAATTGCCGAGTTGAATGTCAAGGTGGCGCTCTAGCAATTGGATAAGGGTCTTTATATGTTTTTACTGCACACTTCTGAGATGAAAACCTGGTGCCTCGCACTGAGTTCAAATGGCCTCTGCGATCTTCCCCTGGACCAAATGCGTGGCCTAATCAAGATCAATCAATCAGGACCAGCCAGCATTGCCGATGGGCAATCTATGAGAATCTTTTGCGTTTAAGATCCCTTGTCACTTTTGCTTGCCTCAACCTTTCTCAACTCCTTTGAATCATTTTATATACAGTAAATCAAAATCGCCATGTCCAAGTGCGGAAGCCGGGCTTTCCAATGAATACTTTCCAAAGGTGGAAAAGTTGCTGGGTCGAGCTGTTACTGTTGCAGAAACTTCAAGTGTTGTGACTAATGCTGCTGCTACCTCGGCAAATGATTGCACATGGGCCTTCTGGGAAGTGCAACGTTTTGGGCCGACAGACTTTTGCAAATCAAAAGCTTGTCAGCACAAGTCTGCAATTTACTTTTCCGCAGTGCTGAAATCGTTAGTGCTTGACAGCAGTTGCCACGATACGTCGACGTTTCGTCCCAAGGAGCCTCTCATTTGTAGAGTCTCAGCGAATTGTGGCAGCCCCAAACACATGGACAGCAGCCTGTTGAACAACTTTTACTGTTGGAGAATGTTGCTCATGCTTCTACCACATACTCCTGCAATATATCACATTTAAATACATATAATAATGTATAATATCAATGAACAGTTGGGGTAGCCAAGCGAAAGATTCAGTTTCAAGATGTTTCAAGTTTCAAGTGCCTGCACCAATGGCTTTACCATACTGGCGCTCACTCTTCAGCCATTTCCATGACCGGCGGCGCGGTTTCGCGCTCTGGCCGGGGCATGATCCTACCATCCTTCTCTCTCCGGTAGAAGACAGCGTACTCGGGATAGATGGAGGCATCATGGAAGAAAATGAACTCACGGAAAGTACCAACTGCCTTCTCTCTGTCTCCCAGCACGTGGTCGAACTCACCATTGAGCACTGGATCGCGGAAGTCACCAGGCTGCTCAGTGACATAGGACCGACCCAGCAAGGCCTTACACACCAGGACGGCATAGAGGCCATCATATTCACCACCTGCATCGTCCCGAGCATACTCGTCGGCTTTGGTCGAGCTTTCTGCTAGGTAGATACCTGGTCCAAACATTGTGCCCGCACTCTTGCCGGCAAAGTCAACGGTGAACGAGTTGCTGAGAATTGCCACTGCCGAGGTTGGGTTGGTGCCATGTAGCAAGTATGCCTGGTTTGCTGGATTGCCAACCGAAGCATGTGTACACCTTTGTGCCAGGCTGTGGCTAGCCGTCATCGTCTTAGGAATTACAAAGTTTGATTCTGCTGAGCGGCACGACTCGGACACGACCTTTCGACGTTCTGCATAGCGATCCCAAAGCTGAGGGTGTTCGCTTCGAATACATTGCACAGCTACAAAGCGATCTGCTAGGGGTTGTCCATCCTTGCGATCTCTGGTGACCTTGTTCTTGAAAGTGTTGTCCAAGATCTCCTGCATCCATGCAAGTTCATCAGCTGTTCCTGGAATAAGCTTCTGACCTACTTCTCCATTGATACAACCTTTGTCTTTCCAATAGGGTGGCGGTTGGAGGGGCGGTCTGCCCAAGGGCTTCACATTGGAGGAGGACATGAAAACACCACGACCGCCCGCACGGTGACGGAAGACCATCTGCATCTCGCGAGCTGCCACACTATTGTAGTACTTGTTGTCCCCAGAACCGTGCCGGAAGGAGCGGCTTAGATTATCGCTGTTGCACACGATCAAATCCTGCTTTTTCGCTCAAATTCTGGGTGGGAGACATCATCTTGCCTAAAAAGTGCACTCAAGAAGCTTTAGACACCTTATGACAACATAGGGCAACATATTTGCTGCGGCACAATGTTCACATTTGCTGCTAACAAGCTTCCCACTCCCCCAAGTGGTCTACCATGAAGTCGCAAATGCGCATCGTCCACTTGCCGAGGTTGCCTGTGGTTTTGCGTAGTTGCACATGATGGAAGACTAGGGCCTAGTCCACCATCAACGGTGCACTTATTCAGGATCGGCGATTAAATTCTGAAGATGGGATAAAACTGACAAAACATAATCACAAATATTGAAACCTATGTTTCTATGTTTTTTTCCGCGCGCATTTCAGGCAAGGTACTCTCTCCGTTCATGTAACCACCCCAACGCCCATCTTCACCCAATGAGCCCGGTTTCAAGCGGAACTTGTTGCAAACGTAGAAGAGGTCACAATTCCCAGGGGCAAATTGAGGGAGAGATCCATTCATGTACCTCAAGGTCAAAATTTCGTCCCAGCAAATGCAATCACACAAACAAAAATGACATGTGACATGTCCGTTCAACCTTCTGCAACAACCACTGCGGGTGAAGCACTTTGTGATGAAGCCATGCAATTGCGCGTGGACTCCATTGGTATCTGGCCCACAAATTTCAATGACTCCATCCCACTGAGGCGGATCATCACTTGTGGGAATGGTCCGAAGCTCAATCAAAAGCAAAGGTGCCGCTGCCTTCAGCTGCTGGATCAAGCAAACATAATCGTCCAGTTTGTGCTGGGACTTTGTGAGATTGCGTTCAATTAAAAAATCCATAAAGATCAAACAAAATAGGACAAACAATCTGAAACAAGTGGTCGCTGCTTTCTCAGGAGGTGCGCGAGTAAATTTCACCTGCTGCTCTCTCAAGATGCGATTCGGGTCATGGCGTGGGTCTGGCGACATGCTCCCACCGTTGCACAGCAACAGCTGCCAACCGTGTGGTGCAAGGAACTCAGCCAACTTGATGGTTAAGCGCCCCAAGTTGTTGGTCAAACCGTTCACAAAGAACAAGTTGGGCGGAGCTGTGTATTTCAAGTCGCAGTACTTCCTTGTTGTGTTGCGATCTGATGGACAATGAACTGTCAAAGATTTTAACGAGAAAAACATGTTTTCTGAGAATGTCCCCCAACATGGAAAATATTCTGACATAAATTCCGACATTCTAGCCGACAAATATTCTTCCATCCTATCTGACATCACATCTGCCGTATATTCTGCCATGCGATCTAACATTTTATCTGCCATTTTCTCTGGCAAGTATTCTGACATTCTCTCCGGCATTTCTTCTGACAATCTATCTGGCATTTTATCTGGCATACTTTTTCTGACGTTGCATCTGGAATTTCATCTGAAAGTCTTTCTGGCATTTGATCTGGCATTCTCTCTCACAAATATTCCGACATTCTGTCTGGCATTTATTCTGACATGGCATTCGCCATTCTATCTGACATTCATCTGGCATTCTATGTGGCATTTTATCCAGCATTCTACCTAATATTTGATCTGGCATTTTATCTGACATAGATTCTGATTTGACATTTTATCTGACATTTTGCCTGACGTATCTTCTAACAAGTCGATGTGGCGCATATCTTTTTATATATATATATACATATATTAGTCCGGCATTTTAATTCTATCGGCCATCCTTTGATGTGGCATTCTCTTTGACGAATACAGCATGAGTATTGTATAAGAATGCACAGTATAAGAATTTGAGGGACCCTCGACCTATTGTGGCGGAAATTTACCTGCATTTAAAAATAAGAGGTTGAGGGACCCTGGGCCTCAAGCTTTCGGATTCTTAACCAACTCTCGGGCTGTATTCTGGCAATCTATATGACATCCTAGTTGGGGTTCTATTTGGGATTCTATCTGACAATTTCTTGGCCTTCCATCTGGCACTTTTTAACGTTCTATGTTGCATTTTATCTGGCACTGTGTTCGGGCCCGGGGCCCATTGGGTTCTTTAGGGTCAGGCGCGCCCGGCCCATACAGAGCTAGCAAGCTAGCCCTATCGTTCGAGTCCGGCAAGCCACAAGAGAGCTGGCGAACAAACAATAAAGTGGCTGCGTAAAGGAGGCTGGCAAACAAGCTGGAAAAGACCGGCATGTCCGTGTGTGTGTGTGTCTTTGTTTAAATGCAGGTGAGGAAATATTGGGGGCATACACTACCGCAATACTCTGGAAGGAGCAGTGGATGACCTAACACAATGCACCACACGCAAAAGTTGGACAACTGCTGCAGAATCTCTCGTCACTCTCCCAGAACCACTTGGTGTACTCGGAGCACCCCCACTGTGTCGTCAGGAACTCTATCAAGTGAGGCCTGAGGTCCTCTGCATCGTGCAGGCCGTTGATCTCGATGTAGCCAACCGTGCGGAGCTCCACCATGAGGTGATCCACGCCGTGCTGAACAAACTCATCGTTCCGGAACACGAGTTGTTGCTCACGTTGGTCACCCTTCCTGCCGTAATTTCCTGTGTTACAAGTGACCATTGTCCATTGGCACTGCTTCACCATGAAATCCACCAGCTCCATTGTTCTCAGACCCATGTTGTTCTCTCCCTCTGATCCCCTCTTTTTGAATGCCGAGGTTTGGAACTTCAGGTCGCAATAGTGAGGGTCATTTTGGATTTGAGAAGCCCTCCAAGCTGTTTTGAAAAAACTGCCCAACTTCTCAAAAATGCTGTCCTTGTCCTCACCATTTACTTCAATGTAGCCAACCTGGCGAAGTTCGATCATGACCAACGGAGCAATCATGTTCAAGGGATGTGGGGCTTTGAATTTCATCTGCTGCTCCCTGATTTCTCCTCTCCACCCGAGGTTTCCGGAATCACACACTTGGAGAGTCCATCCGCACTCGTGGGTTAGGAACTGCGCCAGTTGCATGGTCAGCTTGCCCATGTTGTTCTCGCCCTCAGAGCCACGCGCTTTGTAAAGGTTGTGATTGTTTGATCCTACGCCATAGATGGTGACGTAGCCCATGCTGTAGCTCTTTTCACAGAGCTTGTGGTGTTCCTGTAGCTCCATCATTGTGTAAGTGCTACTGAAACCGCAGCATCCACCTTAGGGTTGGGAGGGCACATTCAGTAGACCCTGAAATTTGGCGAATGCTTGATCATCTGCATTGTGTTGAACATAGCCAAAAAAAAACAAAAACCTTGCACTTCCATTGTTAAACTATGCTTATGATATAAAAGGGTCGGAATTGTTTTGGGATTGTTTTTCCGTTTTTTTTCTTGTTGGATCCGTTTTTCTGCACGTTTTCCTTGATAGTTGCAGCATTTTGGAGCTGAAAACTGCCATTTCAACTGTCTTTGTAACGTTTTGGAGTTGAAACCTCTCATTTTCGATAGAATTTGCAACATTTTAGTGGAACTTGTATCATTTTGGAGCTGGAAGCTGCTGTTTCAACGGTATTTGCAGCATTTTTGAGTTCAAACTGTTCATGTAACATGGTAGTTTGCAACTAGGGTTCATTTAGGGTTGGTTTTAGGGTTAGTTTAGGGGTCTTGTTTGTTTATTTTTTTTTGAGGGTTGGTTTTAGAGTTAGGTTTTATTTAGCTTCTTGGGTTAGTTTAGGATTTTTTTAGGGTTTGTTTTAAGTTTTATTTAGGCTTGGTTTAAGACCTATAATTTATGGTTGGTTTAGGACCTATTTAGGGTTGGGTTTAAGGTTTGTTGACGGTTGGTTTAGGATCTACTTAGGCCTGGTTTCAATACATTTAGGGCCTTAGGGTTCTTTTACGGTTTATTTAGGCTTAGGTGAGCATCTATTTGGGGCTGGTTTAGGGTTTATTTACATGATGTTTCTTAAGGATTATCTGCAGTATGAGGGAGAAAAAAAAGAGGGAAAAGCAGAGAAGCAGAAAAGCAGGTAAGCAGAGAAGCTGGAAAAGCAGAAAAACATGGAAAAGCAGAGAGAAGCTGGAAAGATCTGGAAAGGCAGAAAAGCAGGGAAAAGCAGAAAAACGGAGAAGCAGAGAGACAGCACAGTGGAGAAGCAAAGAAGCGAAGAAGCAAAGAAGCAGAAACGTGGAGAAGCAGAGAAGCAAAGAATTATAAAAGCAGAAAAAACAGGGAAAAGCAGAACAGCAAAAAGCAGAAACAAACATCAAAAAAAATGCCAAAAACGGAAAAAACATATTCACCCCCAAAATAGCCCTCCAAATATTGACATCCAGCATCATCCACAGAATAGGACCAGAAGGAGATCAGCGCAGAGCGACGCGGGCAGGGAGACGACAAAAAGATAGAGAGAGAGAGAGAGGGACAGGCGCCTACTTGCTCCGCCATTCAAACCGCAAAACGGGTTACACATGGTTTGTTGTGCCTCAAAGCACCTCAACAAGAGGTCATTTTGTGGATGGCCTATCTGAAATCAAAGCGCGCCCGCAACAGTCCGCACAAAAACAACACAGTGAATAAATTTCCTGATGAATGGCAGAAAGTTATACTGCGTTCCACGATTAAAACGATATTCAGGTTTTTCCAAATAGAAGATGCATTTTGGGGGTGCGACCAGAAGCATTTCCAAATAGAAAATATTGCAGAATGCAAATGTAGCAAAAATGCCAGAATCAACTCAGAATCAACCCGTCCACATTGTGATGACCTTTGCATTCAATATCTTCCATTTGAAAATCTTTTGTCCCACTGCCATTTTGTGTGGTAGAAACATGTAGAAATAAACAAGGAAAACTGCCAAAATCAATGGAACATTGACACCCGAACTCGGGAGACCCCCCGATGACAGGAGTGCAAAAAGTCCTCCCCAAGTGCGGTCCGGCTGGAGGACATTTTGCACTTCTGTCATATAAGGTGGGTTCGGGGAAAAATTGTTTAACACTTTTTTAAGCCTCAAAACAGCCGGTTTCGCACGTAAAATTGGAAAATATCTGGGCTGTCAAGGGTGGCGCAAGAACAATAGATTTGAATATCTTCTATCTGAAACGCCTTTCGGAAGACTCAAAACACCCAGGTTTGAAAATAGAATTGGAGAATCTGGGCTGTCAAGGGTGGGCATGAATAATATATCTGAATATCGTCCATTTGAATGCCTTTGGGGAAGCCTCAAAACAGCCGCTTTTGTACGTAAAATTTTGAGAATTTGAGCTGTTAAGGGTGGGCGGGAATAATATACGTGAACATTTTCTATTTGAAATGCTTGTTGGGAAAGCCTCACAAAACCTCTGAAATTCTGTTGGGAAAGCTTCACAAAACGTATTTTGTATATAAAATTGGAGAATGTCAGGGGCCAGGGGTGGGCAGGAATAATAGATTTGATTTGAGTATTTTCTATTTTGAATGCCTTTGGGAAAGCTTCAAAACACTCAGTTTTGAAAATAAAATTGGAGAATCTGGACTGTCAGGGGTGGTGCAAGAATAATATATTTGAATGTCTTCTATCTGAAATGCCTTTTGGAAGCCTCAAAGCAGCCGGTTTTGCAAGTAAAATTGGAGAATCTAGGCTGTATGCTGTCAGGCGTGGTGCAAAAATAATATATGTGAATATCTTCTATTCGAAATGCCTTTCGTAAAACCTGAAACCACCCGGTTGTGCACATAAAGTTGAGAGAATCTGGGCTGTCATGGGTGGAACGGATTTAGCACATAAAATATCATAAAATTGGAGAATCTGGGCCGTCAAAATATATAATATATTTGACATATATATTTGAATTTCTATTTGAAATGCCTTTGGGAAAGCCTCAAAACACCCAGTTTTGCACATAAAATTGGATAATCTGGGCTTTCAGGGGTGGGCCTCAAACACAAGTTTTAAAAGTAGAATTGGAGTCTGGCTGGTAATGTCCTGCTCTTTGGATGTCTGTCTTCACTTGCCTCCCTTCATCTGTTTCCACTCCGGATGTCTGCCTTCACTTGTCTCCCAACCCATGTGTCTCCCAATCTGGCTGCTGGTGTCCAGCTCTCTGGATTTCTGTCTTCACTTGTCTTCCTGTGTCCGGCTCTTTGGATGGCTGGCTTCACTTGCCTCCGGACGCAAGCATTCAGACTGGGAGCCAAATCAAGGGGGACCTGCCTCATTGGAGGACAAATGAATTGAGCTCTCCGGCCATTTGTATCCTCGTTTCATTTGTCTCCCGGCCTGGCGGGTGGCTGTCTAGTTATAGTTGTCTCCCTTCATTTGTCTGGCTGGTGGTGTCCCGCTCATTGGATGTCTGTCTTCACTTGTCTCCCAATTCATCTGTCTCCCAATCTGGCGGGCGGGTTTCCCTTGATTTGTCTCCCAGTCTGGCTGGTTGTGTCCGACTCCACGAAATTTGTCTGCACTTGTCCCCTTATTTGTCTCACAGTGTGGGTAGTAGCGCCCGTCCGCCTCTTTGGATCGCTTGTCTCCCTTCATTTGTCTCCCGTCTGGCCGGCTAAGCCTGGCTATGTAGTGGTGTTCAGCTCTTTTGATCTCCGGATGTCTCCCAACTCTATGTCTCCCAATCGATGGTATCCGGCTCTCCGGATGTCTATCTTCACTTGTCTCCCTTCGTTTGTCTCTTGGTTTTGCTCCTGGTGTCCGGCTCTTTGGATGTCTGTCTTCACTTGCTTCCCTTTATGTGCCTCCCAGGCTGGCTGGTGGTGTCCGGCTCTCCGGATGTCTCTCCTAACTTTGTCTCCTCCTCTCCGTTCATGTGCCGCCTGCTTTCCGGATGTCTCTCTTTACTTGTCTCCGTTCATTTGTCTCCCAGTGTGGCCACTGGTATCCGGCTCTCTGCGGATGTCTCTCTTTACTTGTTTTGCTTCATTCCCAAAGAAATGTATTGTTGGAAGTGGGGGTCCTCAATTCTTTCTTGAGAGGCGTCCTCCTGTTTACTGGTGTTGGTGCCCGGCTCTCTTGGTGACTCTCTTTACTTGTCTCCCTTCATTTGTCTCCCAGTGTGCCTGGTGGTGTCCGGTCGTATGTCTCTCTGTACTTGTTTCCCTTTACTTCTCCCGGTATGCCTAGTGCTGCCAGGCTCTCCGGATGTCTCTCTTCTGTCTCTTAGTCTGCCTTCTATTTTTCTCCCAGTGTGCCTGGTGGTGTCCGGCTCTCCAGGTGTCTCTCTTTACTTGTTTTATCTTGTTTCCCGTCATTTGGCTCCGTCTCTGGCTGGTGGTGCTCGGCAATTTGGATGTGTCTCTTCACATGTCTCCCTTCATTTGTCTCCCGCGCTGTCTGTAGTGGTGTCCGGCTCTCCGGATGTCTTTTCTGTGCTTTCACTTGTCTCTCATCATATGTCCCTCCCCATGTGTCTCCCATCTTGTCCCTCTCCCAATTAATTTGTCTCCAATTATCGGTTTGCCTTCCGGCTCTTTCGCCTGTTCGCCTTTGTGTATCATCCACGATTTGTCTCTCACCATCTGTCTCGTATTTCATCGTCTCCGAAGTCTCCATCATATGTTTGCCTTAGTGGCAGTGTCCTGTTCTAGTTTCATCTTGATTGTGCTCTCTGTTCTTATATTTTTGTTTGTCTCTTTGTTGTCTCCAGATAAAATCATGTTCCACCATGGTTTTATGCGTTTTACTACCCCTTGTGTCCCACTTGTCTCCTACCTTGTCCTCCTATTGTCTCCGATACAAATGCTGTCTGTGGCAACTAAAGCGAAACCGTGTGCCCTGACTTCTGATTCATGGTGTTTTCCAATCAACATGGATCAACAACTGCCAGCATCAGGAGCTAGTAACGTATAACCGCCAACAAGCACACAGACGCTGCAACGGATATGAATGTAACTGTTTGGGGTCTACGGGGTGTGTAATTTTCTCTCAGCCAAGCTACAATCTTGCTCCGCGTTGCATGTTTCCATCATATCCACGGTCTTGTCTTCAAGGTGCCAATGCTCCTTGAACCAATGGTCCAATTTTCCATAGACTCCTCCAGTGTCTTTCCCTTGAATTTCCACAAAGCCCAAGGACCGGATCTCAATGAGCAAATGGGGCACTCGCGTGATCTGATCCAAATCCTGCACAGCGACGCCGCATGCTACACATGACAAATAAACTAAGCCTAGGCACATCAGGGGGCGAGGACTACACAGCTACAAATGGCGACGGCCTCACCATCATGACCTGCGATAATGTCAGAACTAATTAGTCGCAGACGCGACTTCCACCCAATACCTGGTACATCTGGGTGTTTGAAGAACCGCGCGTGCAAACAGCATCACTCCACGCAGTAGTTCAAACAGCGGCGATTTGGAAAGATGAAAAAACAGCTTCAGAGCTCATTTATTAGCTTTGCAATGTCACTGCCGGCCACTTCAGTGAATCCAGTTCACCACCGTGATACCCCGACAGGCACGCCTCACAGAAGCCATTCTTTTAAGGCTCAACCTACTCAAATCATTGTCTTTCTTTTCAGAGTCCGAGACACCGATGGGTTTACCATGCTGGGCTACTGGCAAAGGGACAAACGATCACCGCGCTCGCTGGATGCAGACCTCTAAAGGGGCTACAAACGACAAAGGCAGCCTGCCTGAGGGGGGGGTATAGTCCTGTCGGGGACACCGATGGCTTTGCTGCATCCAAGGTACCAGCGTCATGGTCTTTGGGAGTTAGGTTGGGGAAGAACAACTTCAAGGTTGGGTCACAACCCAAGGTTGACCACAACCAAGCCAGTCAGACAATTTTGGCTTGAGTACCAAAGTGTATCAAATTGCCACAAACGTATATAGGCTTAAGAATCAGACATGTCTGTTTCACAAACAAAGTTTCATCATCGAACCTGCCTACCTTAGATGAAATCAATATACCTGGACTTGGATATATACCGCGATATACCGGGATCACCTGTTGATCACCGCTTGATCAACCCAGTCCTTCAAGGCCTGTTTGGACAACTCAAACTCCTGCTTGATGTCCTCCTCTGCGGCAGTCAGTCGACCTTCCACCTCTTCTTTGCTCTGACAGGAGCCCATGAGCGATGACGGGTGGAAATGACCGCCGCCACACTGGAATCCTAAGCTACCTAGCCGGGTCCAACAACAGCCTTGTACTATCTGGCACTGCGACACATCTGCGCGGAGTGCTGTGTGTTTCTTGTGCTGTTGGAGCCATGACGCAGCACAGAATCTACAACACGCAAGACAACGCGTGGAGGCTAAAACAAGTTGCCAAAACAAGTTCACCATATTCACCCGAGACTTGGCTCCTTGATTTTTTCAGTGAAAGTTCACATGTTCCAAACTATGGTGCTTAGATATGCCTGCAACCCCAGCTACTTCCTCAGGCCTTCAGTGGTGGCACCTTCTCACCCCAGTTTCTGCGTGGGATCCGACTTGAAAGCCAACGACGGGTGGCTTTGAATCCTGGAGTGGTTGCATAGAAATCTATCAGAGGAAGGGTGGATTCCTTGCTTCATTCTCCAATGATTCCGGTTGATCAGAGTTGCCCAAGGTTCCAAAGCGCTTATCTGGTGGTAATTTCCCACCAATTAAGCAAAAACTTGCATAAGTGAATCACCAAGATGTTTGGCAATTGCTCTGATACTCTTGATGCGCTATCCTTCTGCTGGGTCATCTCTCCCTAGATCAGCTTCCAATTTATTTACAGCTTACTGTAGAAAGTGGGTTCTATAGCTATCAACTTGATTGACGGACCATACTCGGTACATGTCTTGCAGTAACTGCAGTTGTCCAAATTCACTCGTCACTCGTCTGAGTGACATGGTTACTGGCACTATGATGGCCCGCGTGCTTTCAGCAATGTTTATTTACTAATTGCATCAAACCACGTGGTCATTAGCTCAGTAAAAATTCAATACGACTTATTTCCGGGCAAACACAAACAGGCAATAAGTGGCAGTAGTAGGCAGTAGATCAATAGCACAGGCCAGTCAGGAACAAATAACACAGGTGTGCGCAGTGAAAGTCAAAAAAAAAACTGGTGTCTTTTCAAGGGTGTGTGCTGTACTGGGTGTGACCTGGTGAGCTCACGAAAACAATCACTAAAACGATTCCAGTTCGATCTCTGTTAAAGTTAAAAAGGGGTTTACGCTCCGTTCACGCCGCTTTTGTCGCAAAGTGGCAGGCTGTTGCGGTGCCAGCTTGATTTCCGTACAAAAAAATATCCTTTTCCTATGCTGGGGCGGGCCAATTTTGCACAGGAATATGGTCCAACTGTTGTGGTGCGCTTCATTTCTGTTAAAATCATTGCTTTACGCCCGTTTGAGGCCATTCCGCCCAGCGACCCCAACGCCAAATGCCGCAACTTTCGGTTGCGGTTCTGTCGCAAGAGCTCTGCCAGGGGAATGAACCCTTTGAGCCCTATCTTGGAGGGCTGGTTGCTATCCATGGCCCAAATGCTGAAGTGCTGGCTATTTGGGGGGAATCTAAGTGATTTAAGCCGGGAATATATAAGTGACTCATGACTTTGAACCCCGCTTTAGTGTTTCCATGTGTGATTGGTTTGATCCAAGCTGGCTACCTGGAAAACACTCAAAGGTTGTATCTATATTTGAATGAATGAGTTTTTTCCTTCAACGATTGACGTTTTTCCATTCATGTTTGGTTAGAAAAATCTGGAACTGACAGATGTGCCAACCACAAGAACAACAAGAACAAGGACACCAAGAACAAGGACAACAAGAACAACAAGAACAAGGAAAACAAGGAAAAAAGGACAACAAGAATACAACAAGAACAGCAAGAACAAGCACAAAAAACACAACAAACACAACAAGCACAACAAGCACAAAAACGACAACTAGAACAAGAACGACGACAACAACAGCAGCAGCAACAGCAACAGCAGCAACAACAACAATAACAACAGCAGCAGCAGCAGCAACGCAATTGTGGAACAGTAAACAAGTGGAACGGTACAACAATAGAACAGTACTGCAATGCAACAGTACAACCGTACAGCGGCACAACCGTACAGCAGTAGAACAGTAGAACAATACAACACTACAACAGCACCACGGTACACCAACAGTACAACAACCGTACAGCACCACAACAACAGCAGCACAACAACAGTTCAACACCAGTACGACAACGGTAGAGCAAGAATACAACAAAAGTACAACAGTACAACAAAAAACAACAAAAAACAACAACAGCACAGCAACAGTGCAACAGTGGTACAACAGCCCAACAGCAGTACAAGAGCAATAAAACAACAGTGCAAGGGCACCACAACAACACTGCAAGGGCACCACAACAACACTGCAAATGTAAGACTAAACTAAAACTGTAGAACGGCAACATCACAACAAGAGCACAACACGAGCACCACAACAGCTCAACAACAGTACAATTGTACAATGAACCACAACATCACCAGCAACAACAATCACAACAACAAGAACAACATGGTTGGCAACCAGAAAGAAAGACGGCATTCCTATAAGCAAGCTGTCTCTTTCTCAATTTCACACACCCACATATATATATATATATATACAATTATATACATACACACATATGTATGTATAAAGACACACACACACATATATATATATATATACACATCTCAAAGTGACAACATGATTCTTCGTACTGCTCTCGCCATCTTTTTACCACCTCCTGCCTTCAGTCTGTCTGGTTCACCTGCTATCCTCAGGTTTGCTTTGGATCGGTCACTGCGTGACATGCGCATAGCCCCAGACCAGTGTCAACGCCTGGTCAGACCTGCCTGGTCACCCCAGGATGGAACCTGCTTTTGCAGGTATCACCCATCACCGAATAAAATGAAAGGTGAGTAATGAAAGGATCCCCTGAAAGAGGCTATGTGCTCGCCTGCCCAGCAGGCACCCTCTCCCAGGCGGGCTTCTCCACTGGAGGCCGGCTCTTGGGGTTGGGTGGGTGGGGAAAGAAAAGCAATGAATGCTATTTTGGTTCAACTCCAGCTTGAACCAAAATGATAGCATTCATTGGCTCACTTAAAAGACACATGCGCACCCAAAGCCTGCCAAGCTCGATGCATGAATACATCTCAAAATGACAACATGATTCTTCGTACTACTCTCGCCGCACTCTCATCTTTTTTACCACCTTCTTTCTGCCTTCAGTCTGTCTGGTACACCTGCTATCCTCAGGTTTGCTTTGGATCGGTCAGTGTGTGACATGCGCATAGCCCCAGGCCAGTTTCAACGCCTGGTCAGGGCTGCCTGGTCACCCCAGGCTGGAATCTGCTTTTGCAGGTATCACCCAACGCACTACTACACCCAAAGCACTAGGGGAATTCAAAGGAGGATGACTGCAATGCAGCTATAGCCAAAAGTTCGGCAGGATCAGGTCTCTGTCAGTGGCCACGACGAGGCAGGTGCTCGGAGGAGGCATTGGTCACACGAAGGACGCTCCCATGCCAAGGCCTCGACATCTGTTGTGGCGTACGGGTTGACAAGGCGTTGTGGCAAGAGGGGCCCAGACTTCGCTCTACAAAGCTCTGTCACAGAAATCACTTCCCATCGTACTTGCAGAAAATATACTTTCCAGTCTTACGTCGTACTACTAAGCTTGCAGAAAGCATTCCCAATAATACGTCGCACTGCAAAAAGTTTGCAGAAAATATGTCACACTACTGATTTGCACTACAAAGCTTGCAGAAAGTACCTCGATGTACTTGTTCGCCATGTCGATGGACTCGTCAGCCAGCAGTGAGCAGCAGAGGACTGCCAGGAAGGCACCACGGTGACGTCCTTTGATGCAGTGAATGAGGGCGTTGTCACCATTCCACACCGTGTTCTTGACTGCCGGCCACACATCAGTCCACTGCTCTGAGCGCTCGAAGCTCTAGGCTGCTGCAAAGGTCATCCCCCCCCCCGAGTGCGTGGGAGGGTCCCACCCCCTCTCGGCTTTCAGGCCCATGTGGATGTGGGTGTAAGGAAGGAACCCGCAGGCTATCATCCACGATGCTAAGAGGACCGTCCATGCACGGAGTGAAGCTCCACAATATCCTATCTTCGAGGGCTTTGATGGGCGGGGCGTGTTCAACGACAGGAGCCTGACCACGAGACCCCAGTCGCCCTGGGTGTAACAGGCACCTGCAGATTGCTCAGATCCATCTCCTGGCTTGCGTTCTGGTCCGTCCATTTCAAGGCTTGAAGAGCGCGAGTTGGAGCGTTGGTGTGGTTGAGGAACTGGTCCAGGTCCACCACTTCCGGAGGTGCGGGTCGCCCCCGACTCTCCAGGAAGGATCGCAGTTCCAACCAAGTGTTCACCACTCGGTCAATTGTGGCCTTCTCTGCATCCTGTCCTGAACCTTCTTCTCAGCGATCCGACGGCAGGTCTGCTAGCCCATTGATGCGCTTCTGGATGGCCTCGCATAGTTCTTCTCTTGTAGATCGTCTTCTTCACAGGGCGCAGCAGGCCTTAGGGTTGCCTTCAACTGCTTGTGCCCCTGCGGCCAACATGCCCTCCTCGACTCTCGCCCTGGTTTGCAGCCAGTCATTGGCCACATGATGGCCAGCGATCCCAACCAGCTGATCGTAGTTAATGTATAGGCGTAGGCGAAGTCGTTGTCATTCAGCAAGCCCTCCGCTTCACGCCGCTGCGATCTGCCGGAGAAGTCCGCTGCATTCCAACCTTGAGCAGAGGCAGAAGCTGCCTGTGTGGCGTAGTAGCCTTTGCCACCTGATGCCATGGCAGGGGAAATCTAAGGTACGGAGAGCAAAAAGATGCTGCGGTACTTGTGAGGATACTCCTGCCTCATACATTCGTGGATCCACCAGCATCTTCTTACGCCCCCCACACTGGCTGCAATTCTGCCTCCATGTGGAGCAGGAGCTGCAAAGCCCAACACAACAGACCCAACAGACTCGCCTTGTTGGGTCGCCGCAATCGCTGCATCCTGTACCCAGCTGCAAGGTGCCGTTGCTTTGGCTGTCAAGCCAGCCGCTGAGTGCTCGATGGGGCCTGGCCTGGCCCCTGCAGGTCCCCAAGCTGGCCAGGGTCGCCCCCCGACTGCTCGAGGGAAGAGGATCCACAAAGCGGGCTGGAAAGCCTCTCGCAGGGAAGCACTGTTCCCAGGTGCACTTCTCGAACAGCTCGCCCAAGCCCAACTGTCCAGCGTCACCCGCTACACGGCGGA